CAAATGCGATTTAAAATATAAAACTGAATAGAAATGTGAATGAATGAAATGATTAACAATATTTAAGCTACTTTATTTTTTGTAGGTATGTTCTACTCTACGTGAACAATTCAGATTATCAAAATCAACTCCGAAATGGGCCCATATAACTACACAGCAGTAATGATTGTGCCCTACGTACACCAGCCACCAATTTCCCTAAAGAGAGTATTGTTTCATATTTATTAGGATTTGGAAAACATCTAGTCAATTTGTCTAATCAAAGCTCAAATGGAAGGTTTCGATGCAACATGTAGGCAAATTAAGGTTTGGCAAATCCTAAAAAGTCATGTTACAGTCAATCGACGGATAAATAAGATTTTAGAACTTGACCTGACCACATGAAATTAGGTTTTTAATTAATTATTGATATAACAAAAGCAACAATGCCCAATTTGATATACTTACATATTATTATATATTGTATTTATTTGTTAAAGCATTTAAAGTACTTTTTATTTCAGCCAAAAAAAAAATGACAAAATAGGCATACACATAAGCCCTTGTTTTTTTAAAACAAAAATAAAATTACATAAATAAAGAACAGGAAAAAAAGTCCATACTGGAAAGAAAAACAATGGAGAAAAAAAGCCTAAAAGGGCCTAAAATAGTAAGGCCCAATCTGCCAACCTGATCTGCATAGGTGCTAAATTAACCTACTCGGTCTATTTTGAAACGGTGTGTGGTCAAATGCGGATGTGATTTTCTGAATCCAATCTCATTCGGTCGTTTGGTGCATGACCACAATATATTAAAGAAGGTTGAATGACCACAATATATTAAAGAATAGTTGGGAGGTTCTTTACCATACTAGTTAAAAAACAAGAATCTTATCTAAAAATTGACCTATTTGGAAACCTTTTTATTTTTTATTTTTTTTTATTATTAATTTTTTGAATGCTAGAACAAGAACACATTTGGTAACCATTTTTATTGACAAAAGACCATTAATAGCTTTCAAAATTTATCTGTTTGGAAACAATTTTTCATTTCCCCTCCCTTTTCTATCAATCCCCGCCGTTCCTCCTCTGGTGACAATAATAGCTTTCAATTTTTCATTTCACATACAAAATTGAAGAATTTCCTATCTATTAAATCTTAAATTATTAAAAATAATGAAAATTACACGAAAGTTCATTAATTTGTTTACTGTCAAATAGAAATAAAAAAGAGATTATTGTTAGTACTTAAAAAAATTTGTAATCAAACAACTACAACCTAAGAATGATAAAAGATTAAAGACATGCCCAAAATGTTCTAAGCACCGACGTTCGTTAAATTAAAAAAAAAAAAGAAAGCAAACACTGATATGTATAATAAAAGAATGATAACTGTAAAAGTATTGAAGTATACAAACTCCTAAATTCTCTTAGGCCTCGTTTGGGAACATGCTAATTTAGTAATTTTTTGGCTATTTGGCTAAAAAGGTAGGTAAAAAAAACTTGTATGTTTGGGATGACTTTTTGGCTAATTACGAAAAGATGTGCAAAAAGTAGAGAGAAAAGAGAATCTTTGACTTTTTGGTATGAGTTATTGGCTTTTTAGCTAATTTAGTAATTTTTTGGTTAATTGGCTAAAAAAGTAAGTCCCCAAACGGGGCCTTAGTAATGTCTGGAAAATAAATGAAAGACTAACAAATCAACCTTTTTTTGTACAAAATGAAATCTTGTGTTACTTGGCTTGGCTTCAACTCTCTTCATCTTAATCTAGTCGGAATATGAACAATTACATTTTTATTCACTTAGAAGGTCTTTGAAAGAACATCACTAGAAATTGCAAGTTTTGATCCAAAGACCGGATTCCCGATGGCGATGACACAGGTATTTTGGCTCCCTAGTGTTGCAATGGTTACCTTATTACCAAGTCGAACATTGTACATAACAATTGAACTAGAAAAGGACAAGAGCCTCCAGGACCATGAAGACATCACTTTTAATATAGAACAAGTAGCTAAGTATTTTTGAAATAATTGGAACAACAAAAGACAAAGAAGTCAAATTGAGGGTAAAAATGTAACTTTCTTGACAAATTCGGAATCCTCCCAAATTTGTTAGTCTGATTGGAAATGACATTTTAAATAGAAGTCATTGCCATAGTAAATTTTAACCAAATTCTTTCATTTAGGCTCTTAAATCAGTGAATTTGCCATTAAAAAAAAGAAAATTGTTTTAGCAATTTGGAAAGTCTTTTTTTTAGAGTCATCAGTTTTGGTGTGTTTCTAATATTTTCTAGTATTAAAATTTGGGCTTTAACTCAAATTTGCAATTTTTGAGAATTTTTTGTTTCTTTTCATTTATTTTTGTGTTTAGCCAGGAACTAACCTAATTAATTGTTTCCGCGTTGAGTTAGGGCTCATATATTATAAATAACGATGTATGACATGTGACAAAATAACTTTTTTTTAGATATTATTCTATTTCACTTTAAGAATTCATTTTTTCATTGTGTATTTGTCTAATAGAGCAATATCTAGGCTTATGTGATAATTTAAGCTTTGCCAACTCTTCTAAAGTACCTTTGCAAGCCCAAATATTAACCGTGTAATATTGATGGGCCTAGAAGTGCTTCTCCATCAGATGATTTATTGTAGTGCTTTAGGTAGTGCCTTCAACTTTCGGCTACTTTTATTTTTATATGTTTTCTTTCATAATGTTGTATCATAATGATGTTGTATTAGCTCTCCTATATAATGGAGCCTTCTCTTCATGTTTAATATACAATTGAATCATAGAGTGTATTAGCTCTTTCAATCACTCTCTCAATATTTCTTTCATTATTAGCTCTTTCAATCACTCTCTCAATATTTCTTTCATTATTAGCTCTTTCAATCACTCTCTCAATATTTCTTTCATTATTAGCTCTTTCAATCACTCTCTCAAAATCACAGAGTGTATTAGCTCTTTCAATCACTCTCTCAATATTTCTTTCATTATTAGCTCTTTCAATCACTCTCTCAATATTTCTTTCACATCTATGTATTTCTTTACTATTGGTTGGTGATATCACATATCAATGATGTTGCGGTATTACTATTATATTGATTTTTTACTCAAATTTTATGTAAAAAATTACTTTATCATTATATAATTTATTTTAAAACTCAAATCCATGACTTTATTTATTTATTTATTATTTTTTTATATTGTTCATAATACACTAAGTACAACTAATATGAGTTATTTATTTATTTATTTATATTTTTCTTGAAGTCAATAGTAAAAATTTATGTAAAATATTTTTATAAAAATTTTTATTATTGTAATTGATAAGTGTTCTCTCTAATTTAATTTCTTGACTCCGCCAAATAAATTTTCTTTTATTTATACAATTTGATGGCCCAATTTCACTAAAGAAAAAGAATGGAAAAAGCATATGAATCCTTTATTCATGATCCACTTTGCTCATGGCATAAACAACACTTTAATAAGAAGCATATAAGTGAGTAACTTAAATTAATGCAACTGGGCGTTCGATGCTTCCCCCAAAGTTTGAACCCAAACTCCCCTCTTGAAATTTAGAGTTACAACTCCTTAAGCTGCACCCGAACCTAGATGTCAGATTTTTATTATTGGCAATCTCGTTTGACAAAACTCCTTTCAGTTGTAATTTTACTTGATCATTTATTTCAGTGAGGTTAGACCATCTCCAACGGTGCATCAAACCCAGCATCAGATTTGAAATTTGATGAAAAAGTCACTGTTTGTGTCTCCAATGGTTTTACCAAATTGATATCAAAATGAGAATAGAACAAAAGTTTCATCAAACTGAGGACAAGCTTCGGATTTCATCTTTTCACTGTGTTATACTGTTGGGGTGGGCCAATCGGTCAACCAACCGGATGTCCAGCCGGTTGACCCATCGGTCGACCGGTTCTCTTTCAAATAGGTAGGTTCAAATTAGTCAAAAAGGTTCAAACAGGTTAAAAAAAAAAAATTGCTTTACCGATCGACCCTTCCCTTTTGATGCACGGTTGGAGCAAATCATATCAAATTGAGAAAATTAACTTTTTTTTACTCAAATTTGGTGAAAAATTTGGTTCACCGTTGGAGATGCTCTTATGAGTTTTAGATGCGAATTCAATCCGAATTGTGCCTAATAGAGATGTTTTAGAGGCTAATTCTTTCATGTTTGCTACTTCGCTGACTATGTCGGGGATCGAGCTGAAGTTTTCACTGACTGTAAAAGTACAGAGAAGTTGTATTTCTCACTCAAGCGACATTTTGGTGGCTCAAGCGAAGACACTTGGAAAAACACGCGTTTTAGTCTCCTCGCTCGAGCGACCTTCATGGCCCATTTTCTATAAATATGTGTTTCAGTCAAATTTTAGAGTTACGACTTTCGGATCTTTTTTTTTGGGGCATTAGGGTTTTCTTCTGAAGTTTCTTTGCTTGTTTTTCTTTTGATATCTGTGAGAATTTAATCATGAATTGAGTAAATTATATCAAAAAGGTTTGTTTAGTTTGGTTTATTATAAAAAGAGAGAGAGTTGTTGTTCGGTGGATTCCGTGAAATTTGGGTCTGAAACTTTGGTGGATTCTGGAGTAGCTCATCGTTATGGATTTGACATCGGCGTTATGAATTCAACGTTGGGTAAGAAAATTCCGAGATGAAGATGAGACTGGAAGAGGCACATAGTGGTCGGTTCGATTCGGGCATGTATTCGCTAGGTAATTGAGAGTATACTTGTGTAATTCCTTTATGTCTTTTTAGTGGATTGTTTTGTGGCTTTTGCCCGTGATTTTTTTATCACAATTAGAGACACTCCAATTGTGATTTTTTCACGTAAAATCGGTTTGCGATTTGTCTTGATTGTTTGATTAGAATTGTTATTTACTGCTTAAAATTGATACATAATCACAAATCAATATCTAGGGAATTTTTAGATTTTTCACTAAATTTTTTTTTTTTTTGATAAGCAAAGAAAACTTTACTGATGAAATGTAGCATACAAAGTAGGTGGATACATCAATAAAGGGGAGAAGACAGAGCTAACAGCAGCACTAGATTCTTTTATTAATATTCAAAAAATAATGAAAGAATAAAAAATCAACTTTTTTTGGTACAAAGTAATATATCCACTTGCTGAACAGTAAACTACGACATAAAAATTCTAATATCTTGAAACAATTGGCTTACACATTTTTGTTATTGATTTATTACTTTGGGATGAATGTTTAGAACTTAGACTGCATACGAACTATTATATTCTCATCCACTTGAAAGGCCTTTGCAAGAAGATCACTAGGGATTGCAGGTTTTGACCCAAAGACCGCATTTGCAATGGTAATAACACCAGGATTTTGGCTACTTAGTGCTGCAATAGCTACCGCATTACCATATCCAACATTGCGCTGGAAATGGATAAGATTCACTGGGAACACAAATACATCACCCTTCTGAAGTACCTTCGTGATGAGATGATTTTCCAGGTTAGAGGTAACAAACCCTACTTGTAGGCTCCCTTCAAGGACAGTCAAAATTTCAGTGGCCCGAGGATGTGTGTGTGGAGGGTTAATTCCCCATGGTGCATAGTCAATACGGACCATGGAGATGCCGAGAGTGTTAAGTCCTGGCAATTGCGCAACAGTTACTGGAGTCACCTTCGATCCAACTACATTTGATGTATTGCCTGCTAAGTGTAACCCGCTAAAGAAGAAATCATTGGCTTGTACAAGTTTCGGATCCTTACACACTAAACCATTCACTAGCACTACAGCCATAAGAAAAAGAAAAAGTTAGGCCCATAAATCTCCAGTACAATAATAAAAATGTTTGGACAAATGAACTAGTTTGGCTGTATTTATATATATATATATACATAATTCGTAGGTACTCATCATTTTCGTATCATTTTTACTTTTGCTCAACAAATAGTTTTCAAAAATTAAAAAAAAAAAAAACATTTTTTTCATATATATATATTTCAAAAATATTTCACAAGAGAAGATTTCTGTGTTTTCTGAAAAATCAAAATAAAAAAAACCAAATAGATGGAAAAATGCATTCAAAGAGTATAGTACATGTGCTATTCTTGTCGGCAACACAAAAGTCTTGAAGAGGACTATTGTCAGATGCCAAAGCAACAGAACAAATTATAGCCAATAATAATCCCAATAACAAAACAAATTGAGATGCCATTTGGACACTAAAAAATCTTCTTGTTGAGTATGAAGCAATCTTGTTGAGATGAGAAATAAGTGACCACTCGGGCTGCTTATATATAGAGGTTGGATGGAGGGGAAAGAGAGAGAGAGAGAGAAAGAGAGAGGTAACCAGAGTTATAGCCGTCCTAACACCAATATGCACCAAATGATTTTTTATTTTTTATTTTTTTCTATTCGACAAAATAAAATATATTGATGAATTAAATGGTTCTAGTAATACAATAAAATTGCATCAATAGGAAAGATCTAGGAAAGAAGCATCATAGCTTAAGACAAACATCCAACAAACTTGGAAAATACATCAAGCCAAACAAATGATAAGCCAAACCGAATGAGCGTGTTGAAATGGTCAGAAATTCAGAATGTGTCTTTGGTGCCGGCGGATGATTTGGCTGATAAAAAAAAATGCTCTCTTTTAAGAATTTTGTGCTTGGGATTTTTAACTTGGAAAGGTTTAGGCTTCTGCACTGTATACTTAGGCACTATTTAATATTTCTTACAAAAGTGTATTTTTTTTTAATTTTTTTTTTAGTCACATTATCTTCTTCTGCTTCTTCTTCTTCTTTTTTTTTTTTTATATTTTCGTAAAAAATCAAAAAATATACTGTCACGACCCAATCTCGTCAAGGCAACCCCCGCCAAGAGGGCGCACTTCAACGCTATATCACATCACCAATAGTGCATAAGACCTTTCGATTGGCCAACATATATGAGATGATCTATTCAAAGACAGAAATATCATCATGCTACTAAGATAGTTTCCATGCACCACTATCCCAAAAATAAATTATACTATTCGTGAATCCATCAATACATCCAACTTCACCAAACAAATATTTACAATCAACCTACTTCATAAAACAAAGGATAAAACTGCATCCTAGAGTGACCTTAAGCAAAACCATTAACTACCAGATGTTCACATTTGATCATCCAGAAACTCTAATCTTCCAAGTTGAGGCAAGCCACACAAAAGTCTAGGAATCTGAAAAAAAAAATTAATTAAAAAAAAAAGAATGAGCTAGAGGCCAATGAGTATACCAATCCCATGGAGTTATAAAGCTTGCTCCTTCCAATTGGGTTCAAAATAAGATAATAAACACAAGAGCTTGATTGGACTGAAATTTATAAAAATTGAGAAAATTTTGCACAAACCGTTATCAAGATTTTTCCAAAGAATCTCATAATGCAGGAAAAATACATTTGAATAAGGAAAGTAAACAAAAATAAACTTTTCAATAAATTAAGATTTCATGTCTATCATACGAACCACTACATAGCCTTAGGGTCGCGTTACCTCGCGACTTAGGTGGTGACGGTACCGTTACCCAAAACATAACTATAGGAACATATGTCATGTCATCGTAGCACTTCAATTCTCATTTCAATGTTTCGGTCCCTAGGACCCCTCATGTACAACGACCCATATGGTCCTAAAAACATTTCGGTCCCTAGGACCCCAAAGCATTTCGGCCCTTGTGGCCCCAAAGGTTATATTCGGTTATATGATCAATAAAAATAAATACTCTCGCATGATGCTTCATTGTCATTTAATCATCATCATCATAAACCTTGAAGGACTCAACTTGAATAAATTCTCATAAAAAAAATTAGTGCTTCATCATACAAATGAAATCATAGATTTATTTAAACTCAACATTTGACCTCAATAAATTTATAGATTTTCTTCTTATACATATATCATGATGAAATGTGTTACTTTCTTTAATTCAAAAATATTTTCAAACTTTGTATTAAAGATAGAGATAAGGTAAATTTTCATGGTAAGTATACTCACCTCCAAAATAGCAAAAGTGTAGATTTGAAACTCTACGAATTAATTCCCAAGAGGTGTAGAGACACCCTCCTCCAATCCTAGCAATTAGTAAATAGGATCTAAAATTAAGGACAAGCTTTCAATGAAAATTACAACATCTACAAAATTGATCCTAAATAAGACATGGTATGAAATGACAAGCTAAAGAACTCCTCCAACTTCAAGTCACCCAAACAAACTTCTTATCCAATCTCCACAACACCCATCATTTGTACATTTTTGAGTTATTAACCTTTTTAAATATACAACCAATTTAGATGCACAATACCACCATCAATTAAACCATTTCAATCATTAATAAAATTCCTCCAAAATCGTTTATAAAACATAGAGATATCCAATTCACCATTTATCAAATCAATTTCAACATGTAAATTTCCTAACACTAAAATTTCCAAATTTTACATCACATTCAAACCTAGATTAACCCAAATCTCAATCTCCAAAACAACCATCAAATTGATCATTAAACCAATAATTTCATGAATATAATAATTCCAAAATCAATTCTCAAATTCCATGAACTCATGATTTTTATAGCTTTTTCTTCAAAGTCATTTATACACTCCATTGCATGGATCCAATCTTCAAACATTTCTTGCTGCATGTAATTTATAGAACTCAATTTAAGAATGAATCTCAAAATTGAACCAAAATTTAACAAATTTAAGGAATCAGAACTCATATTCTTCAACCTAATTTGATTTTAGATGCAAAACCCAATTCCTAACAATTTATATAATTAATCTTCAAATCTTCATTTTTAATCCTCTCAAAATCCATCTTGAATCAATTTATGTCTAGATTATTTAAACTATACTAGAAAGATGATGGAATTTCTTACCTTAAGATGATTTTTCCACAATTTTTTTTAGCTTGAATTTTGGTATCTCACAAAACCCTCTTCTCCTTTGTTCTTCCTTCAATTCTCAAGCCTTGAGTTCCTTCTTTTTTCTTTTCTCTCTCTCTCTCTCTCTCTCTCTCTCTCTCTCTCTCTCTCTCTCTGCCTTTCTCTCTGTACGACTCAAGTTCTCTATTCCTGAATACTAAAGAATGAATTCAATACAGGAATGGCAATGGGGCAGGGCGGGGCGGGGCCGGGGATTACCCTCCTCGTCCCCAATCCTCGATAGTGAAAATTCTCTCGTCCCCAGTCCTGATCTCTGACAGAGAACCTATCACCGCCCCCACTTCCGCCTCCCTCCGCCTCCTAACAGGGATCAGATTTCTCCGACCTCGAAAATTTCCCAACCTAAAAAAAAAAAAAATGGATATCAAAGAATCAATCACCTGCCAATCCTTGAACAAACAAAGCAACTGCAATGACGAACAGTCTCACCACAAAACAAACTAGTTATAGAACCAACCCCTTTTTCCATATACTATCAAAAATCAATACTCCTCCAAACCCAACCTACTCAATGATGAAGAAATAATAAAACAATAATAAAATAATGAAATCTTTTAATTGAATAAAATAATGAACAATGATAATGGGATATCAGCAACAAAAACAAAAACAAAAAAATAGATCTATAGAAGAGAAAGTTTGAACTGGATTGATTGTGTGTGGATCTATAAATATTATATGTATTTACACAAAGAGATTTTCAAATTTCAGCGTAGATCCAAAGATGAAAGCCACAAAGAAGACGTTACAATCGACGACGAGCAAAGGCAAGATTGCACCCACGGCGGCGACATGGATGGGTATCTGTGCTTCTCCTCAGATCAGCACTAGCCTCACTATTTCGCGTTGGTGAAACCCAATTTGGGATCTACATTGGTATGCGATGGTGGCTTTGGCGGAGGCAATTAGAAGCAAACCAACCTCATTTTAGGAAAGAATGAAGGAGATCGGAGGGAGGGAGGGAGGAGTGATGAAAGGGTTTTAGAGAGAGAGAGAGTGAGCCAAGTGGAGCAAGTGAAGATAATCATGTCAGTGATTCCCATATTTGGGTGCACCATAATTTTCAACACTATTTTAGCACAACTTCAAACATTCTCTGTTCAACAAGGAAGCACCATGAACACGCAGCTCAGTCTCAGTTGGCTCACAAACAAGTTCCAAATCCAAATCCAAATCCCACCAGCATCTCTTCAATCCATCCCTTACATCATGCTCATATTTGTAGTCCCTCTTTATGAGACCGCTTTCGTACCCATAGCAAGAAAAATCACTCGAAGGGACTCTGGAATTTCACCTCTTCAAAGGGTTGGAGTAGGTCTCTTCATTGCAACATTTTCAATGGTTTCAGCTGCAATTATAGAGAACAAGAGAAGGAAGTCTGCTTTGAATTATTCATCGAACAACAAAACAAATCTCATCTCCATCTTTTGGATTGCGCCGCAGTTTCTTATCTTTGGCCTATCAGAGATGTTCACTGCAGTTGGCCTAATTGAGTTCTTCTATAAGCAGTCATTGGAAGGAGGAATGCAATCCTTTTTGACAGCCATGACTTACTGCTCCTACTCTTTTGGCTTCTATTTGAGCTCCCTCTTAGTTTCACTTGTCAACAAAATCACCTCTTCAAGCACCTCTTCTGGCCATGGTGGATGGCTCAGTCACAATGACCTCAATCAAGATAGGCTAGACCTTTTCTACTGGTTGCTAGCTCTTATTCAAATTGGGCACCCTATAAATAAATTTAATTCGTAATAGTCACAATTCTCAATCCTCATAATTTAATTAACTTAATTAACTCCAATTTGAACATAATTAATCGAATCTCAATTTTACTAAATTGAATCGAATATTTAATTAAACTCCCAAATGGGTCTGTAATTAAAAATAAAATTGATTCAACTTCTTAATTTCGCTTCCTTAAGCCATTTGGACCCTTAATTTCTAATTCCAAAATAAATCTTTAATAGAATTATATACGAATCAGATTCCATGATTCTCATAAATCCCAAATTAAATTAGGATAACGACTAATTAAAATCTCAAATCTCCTTAATTAACCAAATATAAAATATTATACGTGGCGGGGTCGTCACATATACTCATATAGATCAGCTCAAACACCCTCTTAATCTCTTCTTTTGTTTTTAATTATTTCAGTTAGCTCCAAACTTTGAGTCGAGTTGCAATTAAACCTATTTGTATTAGGTTGTTTAAAAAACTGACATTCCGTTTGGATTGGGGAGCTTGGTGAGGAAATAAAAGAAATAGAGATAATGAGATTTTTCATCACTTATTTGAATGATTAATGAAATGAGAAATTATGAGAAATAGAGAAAAAGTCAAATCCTTCAAAACTTAAATTTTGTTTCTCATTAAAAATAATGAGATTGGGTGAGAAATCAAAATTACTTCGGCAAAAAAATTATTCATTGTTCATCTAAACAAGAAGGTGAGAATAAATGGATACATATATCCCCTTTTAATCATTGTTCATCTAAGCAAGAAGGTAAGAATCACAATCGTTTCTTTTATTTCTCCACATAGGTAAATGTGGAAGGGTGAATTTTATTCTCTACAGGAAAAGCGAGATGAGCTGCTCCTTCCTTCACTTTGTACAAAAGACAAATATCAAAATGTCAGTGATCTCTCTCGACCAAGGTTGGTCGGGGGGACTCTTCGATAATCAAATTAGAATCTTGTGTGAACATATCATTTTTCTGAAGGAAAATATCTTTTTTTTTTTTTAAACGATTTTCTTTCTTTCTTTTATAGTGTTGATACCTGGTATCGTGACCGTTTGATGGCTGTACCGATCCAATGGTGTTTTATGCGTACATGCACTGATCAGACAAGTGGACAAGTGATCTTGATCTACCATTGTCGGAGTTACTATATTATAGATGGTGTAGATTTAGTTCAGGTTTGGGCACTCATTCTTGATCATTGGACTTATCTTATCAGATGCTCGGGTTGTCAGAGTTGGTTGATTTTGTATCCTTTCTTCTGTTGGTTTTGATCTCTATCGTTGATTTCTATCTGATCCAAGGGTTTTCCTTTATGTTTAAGGATCTCTTTTTTGGAATTGATCCTGTTTAAATCTCCTATCACATGACCTTGTTTTCTTTACAACAGTACTTTCTAAGGACTTGGGCCTGGAATTTGCCTTGGCTGGGTAAAAATGCTTTGGGCCACGTCTTAACTTGCTTAGGCCTTGGGCTTGAATTTTTATCCTCCATAATTAGCCCCCATTCAGCGTTTCGTTTTAACGAATTGCCGAAGGTGCCCTAGCCGATTGTCTCAGGTCCCTAGGAAAATAGCGCCATCTGTGGCACTCATCCATTAAGTATCCTTAATTAAATAATGATGTCCATCATTTCTTTTTTCAATGCGCCATTTCACCTCTGACGTATTTAATCGAAGGTTTGGCTCCCCCTTCTTTCATTGCCCATCGCATTACGTCCTCAACTCTTATATTCGTGTCCTCACCTTTCAACGGAAGTTCTTTGTAAGTTCATCCCTTTCTCTCTTGCAATTTCTTAATTTTGTTAGCTTTTGTTTGACTAAAATGAATCGATTGAGGTCATTCTTCGAATTTGAAGAGAGCATTGATGAGTTCAGGGCTTTGTATAATATCCTTGAGGATGTCATTGTTTGCCTTCCTACCTCCAATGATAGTTTGTCAGAGGGTTCTAAAGAACGAAATCCTCTTCCCTTGATAGATATAGTAGAGGGATGAGTTAGATTTCCTCTACATCCTCTCCTTCGAGAGGTGCTTTACCTTTATGGGGTATCCCTTTCCTAACTGTCCCCTAATTTCTTTAGGATAATGATGGGTGTAGTGGCCCTGAATGATATCCTTGGAATCAATTTAGGTATGTCTGAGATTAGGTACTGCTATAATTTTGTTCCCATTACCAAAGAAAGAACAAAGTTTTACATCAAATCCAGGTCGGTGAAGCGCCAACTTGTTCAAATGCTTCTTGATTTTGGTAAAGGTGTGAATGATGTGTTTGTTATAATAGAGGGGAATTGGGAATTTCCTCCTAGAGTTGATCAGATCCGACCTGTCCCTAAGGTTATTGGTCGTCCAGGTTATAAGTCACCTTTGTTTGCTTTGTCTTTGTATCTATCTTGTCATCTAATTTTACTAACAATTGCATTTATTTGCCGTAGCTCCCGAAGTCTTTACTCATCCTAGCGAGTGGGAAGATCAAGTAAACCTCTCTCTCTTGTGTCGAGCTTGGTTGTACAGAGGACCACTAGAGCAACAAGGGCAAGGTCGGGCAGCTCATGTCTTGCTTACATATGTTCCTCATTACAGAACCGTAATAGCCACAGATGGCATAGATCCTGGTGTTGACGGTAGTGTAGCTCGACTTTCCGTGCCTCCTTTCGGAAGACAAATAAGCCCTACAGTATCAGACTCCCATGGTTCTAAATCTAATTCCACAAGTGCAATGTGAAATAAATTAGCACCAAAGAGTCCAAATCTGACAAATCTTTTGAAAAATCAATTTTGAATTAAATTGCCAAAAATGGGCTGCTTTGCCAGATACAGAGTCGCCACCTAAATATTTTTTGAGAAATTTAGGAAACCTATAACTCGTGCCAAAGGCCACGTGTCCGTCATCACCAAAATTGTCTCGGCTCGAGAACTTAGGTACAAGAAGGGAATGTCATAAATTGAGCATCCCTGCTTGCCCGATCAAAGATCGGCCTCTACTAATCATGATATGAATCTTATCTACATTATATGTTCTCGTTCCGATTTTTTAGCTATATTACTAGGTGGTTCGTACACAAGTATAGACTAATTTGTAAAAATTAGAATGTTTTGATTTCATGTTTTGTTTTTGAAAAGAGTTTGAATGTATCACTTGAAAAAGTGGGATTAAATTTACATTAATCAAATTATTCCAATTCAAGCACCTAGCCTTCATCTACAAGCATTCAAAACGGTTTCACTTAAGCACTTAGCCTCATGGTGGACATGCTAGACATGGTAGCACTAACATTCAATGCAATATGCTAAAGCAAGTAAAGGCTCACCTAAGCAAAAAAAGGTGAAAGAGTTAGAAAAATGTATGATCCTAACTATGCACTATGGCTAATGCAACACATGCAATATGCATTTACTAGGCTCAGTTACTAATATTGCATATGAATCAATTTGATAGCATGCAGTCCAATCACGTTTTTCAAAGAAGTATTTAAACAACAATACAAGTTAGAATGATGAACCGAGCCTTGATGCATGCAAGACAAGTGGATGCAAGGCATGAGAGATGCTAAACAAAACATGATGCCCTAAACTAATCAACATGAGCAGTTAAATAAAAGGGAGAAAAATGTGGGGTTGGAAGACATACACATTATTACAACATTTGCGCCCTCACACAGGAGGGTCCGAATAAACTAACTACCTAAGCTGATTACTACGAATTAACTAATTATTACAAGCCCAAATGAATAAATTAGCTAAGCTACTTAACTAAGTATTACAACAAATTAATTAACTATTCTAGCTAACTAATTATTATAAGACAAAATTAAATAACTAATCTAGCTAACTGATTATTTACAACACTTTACAAAATTAACTAGCTACAACTAATTAATTACAACAAATATCTAAACTAAGTAATTAGACTAAACAGCCCCAGGAAGCGAGGAGTGCTTATGCATGCGCGCAGATTTCCACCCGAAAAAGCCACTATTCTGCTGCCAAGAAGCCCTTATTGCACAGTAGAACACTTGCACTGTTTTCCCTCCTCAAAAACAACTCTGTTTCATTTCAAAAAGCTACTGCTGGATTTTGCAAAGGTGGCCAGCAGGCTAGAAGTGGTGGCCTGTTGTCCCCAAATGGTGGCCTGCCGGTCACTGATGGCTGGTTCTTCCTACTGCAACAGAGAACAAATAGAGCAAGCATTTGGTATTCTCAAGGGTTGTTTGCACAATTTACCCCTCCTTATCATCAAACAGCTCAAAAGAGTAACAAAATTTGATTCATAAACCATCAATTGCTGCAATTTCATTACATGATGGCCTACGAACCAAAGGGTGCAAGTTCAATAAATACAACGAATAAAGACTCTCAAACCTTCTCCCTATCATGGATTAATCAAGGGAAGTGGTTGACAATGACTCTTGAACCGTTTACATCACTAGCAAGTATGAAACGATTCAATTCTCAAGGGTTCAATTAAAGTCTGATTGAAACCAACTAAATTATTATCTTGCATCACTTTTTTAGTTCTCATTTTGTTACTCTATTTTAATTACCAACCATTCCTTAGTAAATTAAGTCCAAATGTGAGCTTGAAGTCCTCTAATGGAAAGAAGCATCAAACCAAGAGTTATTTTAGACATGAGAGAAGTTTCATGCCATTGGTAATGAACCCCTAAAGGGATTAAACCATTAAGTATTAGACTTCAATCTCACGCTTTAAACAAGCAACTAGTTTGAACCAACTTTCAAAGCAAAGCAAAATCCAAGAAAGGAAGGAGGTTGTAGAGGTGATTAAAGGTGATCACAAGTATGGAAAGTCACAAATAAGTGCTATCAACTCAAATAGGTTGGTAGCTAAGGCCTAAACCACCAAACCTTTGAGGACAATTACACTACAAGCATGCAATACAAGGCTCAAATGCAATGAACACTTACAAATAGTCATAAAATAGTGCTAAATAAGTCCTAAAACATGTTGGAATTAAGACCAAAATAGCTAGAATAATAAGCTAAAACATAGAGC